CTCCCCTGACTCCATGCAACGGAGTCTTTTGGAGAGAAGAGGTACATTGCTGCATGGGCCAATCCATGGTGTTCGGTTAACTGATACACGTTTGATCGTCCCTGATTTTGACGAGGATCGGTTAACTCCTCGATATTTAGTTACCCGACTGACGGATGATCTGCTTAGGGCCCAATGACATTGTAGAAATCGGTCTGAAGAATGTAAATATATAGTGTACTTCGATGTTGTTACTGCTGTAATAGTAGATCTAATTGAGAAGTTGATTTGTCATTATTTGACTGCCTACAAGTTACGGTCCAGAAATATTCATTCAATTAATGTCAATTTTGTTAGCAGATTTCAGAATTTTTATCTTGAACGCTTGTTTAACTAACAACTACCTGATGGTTTGGATATTATATCAGTGCAGTACGATAATATTTTAATGAGGTGACTTCATCATCTTAACTATGTTAAGCGTCTTTATAGGCAACTGATATGATAGCCTAATTCATGAACACAAATACACCAAAGATAATGACTATAATGTGTTTGATGGAAAATGTTGGAGGCGGTTCAAAAAATTGTTAAATTCAAATGGCATAGAAATGACATGATGCAACGCCTGTACAAGCCAGGCTAACATGTACTATGAGAAAGAATATAAAATATAAAAAACTTGACAGAAAAAATTTAAAAGTTTGGACATGACTTATAGAACTAGAGTTACGAACACAGTGGGTATAATATAGAAATTTATTAAGTGGTTGCTGTAGTTTGCTTAGTAACATTCATAAATATGTAACAATGGTAATCAAAACTAAGGGGTTTCAAATTTATCTTGATTCTGATATCGTTCACTTAAAAGCAACACACTTTCTCACAGTAGTATGTTGTCATTGAGAGTGGTTCATATGAAATAAATTTATTTAGTCTAAGTTAAAATATATACACGTTAAGAAGTATCAGAAACATGGTTGTATAATCCAAACTACGGTTTGGATGTTGAAGAATAGCCGACCAGAGACTTTAGACACGCGCCCTTTCCCGTCGAAATCAAAACAAGTAATCGGGTAAATAGCGGTTCTATAATTCATCATAAATTTAAATGTAAATCGTTACCTAAACAAATATTACCACCCGGCTATTCAACCAATAATTGTTCAATCAATAAATCTAAATTACAATAAATAAAGGAGTTGATAAAAGATGAGGGAAAATTACCAGTCACAACAAATGAACGTTATTCTACCCTGACTGGATAGAACACACACAACAGGAGGAACAACTCAATATGGCTACCGCCAAGAACAAGTGTCCAGTAAAACAACACAGATACAGTTCGGGAAGAAACACAAACTTAGTGAATGCGTAAGAAAAACAAAATCTATAATAAAAAATACAAGTATTAACAATTCAAATGTAATCAAAAGACAACAATGTACAATTAAGGGGATCAATAGGAACAAAGTACAAGTATATACATGGAGGGATTTTCACCAACACACAAAACATTCAAAATGGATCTTACAATGGTCAATAGCCAAACTTCTTGGATTATTTTCGAAACTAAGATAATCCAATAGATTTCACGTATGGCAAGCCATTTGTGGAATATTACAGATAAAAAATGAGTCGGGTACACATGCAATACTACAACTAAATCCTCGGTGCGTTATGCTGTAAACCTTTTGCCATTCGGTCGATTCAGTACAAATCCAAGAGTCCAGTTAAATATGTGGCCATCACTGTATGAACTATCTAAAATGAGCTGGCGGCCTGCTTGAATATCTGGGCTACCTGTTTCTGCCATCTGATTATTTCAACAAGTTATCTGTTTTTCATTTGTTTTAATTTATAATTATGTCCATTAATCGCATAACCTATTCAGGCGCTTTTATGAAAAGCCTACGACCTTTCGCTGCACAAGTTACGAAAAAGTACTATAAAAGGCATCGTGGTGGTTGGCAATATGCGTTAAAGAGAATGAACATCAATCGTATGTCGATTCCCGAGCTACTAAATTCTAACTGCCGATCACTAATCAACAAAGTGGACTATCTGCAATTCCTGCTTAGTCAAAATACGTATCGTAATTGTGGTGTCATCACAATTCAAGAATCTTGGTTGAATGATTTACAGGATGACTGCCTTGTATCACTACATGATTTCAAAATTTATCGTCAGGATCGATCGAACAATAAAAAGAGGTGTGGTGGCGGTGTAGCTACGTTTGTAAACATAAACTGGTGTCGATCTTCGTTTGTGTGTTTTAAGTTTTCAAATGACTTTATCGACTGTCTAACTCTAAGATGTCGTCCAAAACATCTGAATAAATACAAATATGTTTATGTTACCAATATCTACGTCACTCCAGATTGCACATCATCTGCACTATCTTTTTTTGCTGATGAATTCACTGAGTTCGCTGTTACTGCCTTCAGTGATTCACTTTCAGTTGTATGTGGTGATTTCAATTCATGTGACTGTAGCTTCCTTACGTCACTAGGTCACCAAAATGTAGTGGATTTTCCTACCCGTTTGGACGCTAATCTAGACTTCGTCTTCATTAATGATATGGGTATATATGCGACTCGTAAACGTGCTCCATTGTCTAGCTCAGATCACTGTATAATTCGTGTTCTACCTAAAGTATATGGAAAGCATGGGAAGAGTACACTCTTACATCAAACTAAGAAAGTCAAATATAGGAATTACTCAGAAGAAAATATCCGAAATCTGAAAAACATGTTTCATACGACTAACTGGGAATTATTTACAGATGACTCACTCGAAAACACTACTGATGTTATCACTTGTTACCTTAAATTCTGTTTTGATATTTGTTGTCCCACTGAAACCATTTTTGTAAGTTTTGATCGACTTACATCTTCACAACTAAAACGACTACGGAGGATGAAAGAAAGAATGTACAAGGAGAAGAACTCAAATGAAGTTCGTAAGCTAAATGGTCTGATAAACCTAGAGATTAGACGTCTCAACTGTATGTTTACTCAAAAACTCTTATCTTGCAAAAACTCTCCAAGTATGTGGAAATTCTTTAAAGAACTTACAGGTGACAGAAAGTTTAGAAGCGATAACCAGCTGAATGTTTGTGACTTAAATAAGTCTTTTGTACGTCAGTCATCTGATGTGATGCTCCCTCTATCCACGGGTTTAAAAAATAGCTGTGTTCATACTTTCACTGAAACTGATGTACGAGGATGTCTCCAGTCGCTTAATTCATCTCGATGTTTGGGACCTGATGGTATCCCAAACATCCTTTTTAAAAAATGTGCTGACGTTCTGTGTCATCCGTTCACAACTATATTTAACAGATCTTTCTCATCTAATCTCATACCGAAAATGTGGAGAAAGATGAAGATAATTCCTGTACCCAAGAAAGCATTTGGTGATAAGAATGTAAAATTTAGACCTATTGCAATAACTTCACCCTTCCTCAAAACCATGGAAAAATTATTAATACTTCCACTTCAGCCTGCGATAAAAGAGCATACTGACCCATACCAGTTTGCATACAGGCGCAAAAGAAGCACTTTAGATGCTGTTGCAGTTCTGCATCACAACATAGTGTTCAACTTAGAAAAGGGTAAGAAGTATGTTCGATGTGCTTTTCTGGACTATACTTCAGCTTTTGACTCTATACCAAGACAACGTTTACTTAACAAGTTAATCAGCGTCAACACTGACAGCTGGATAACCAACTGGCTATGTTCCTACCTCTCTGGAAGGGAACAGTACACTGTGTTTGGAGGAAAGTGTTCAGATTCTCTACTGTCTCAGGAAGGTGTACCACAAGGAGCTGTTCTTTCACCTCTTCTATTCTCTTTTTTTCTGCATGACCTGCCATCTTCCACAGAAAACACTTTTGTGAAGTACGCGGATGATCTCACTGTATGTATGCCTATATCTTCCTCTTTACATCCCATAGAAATGAATGAGTTTTTGTCTCGTATTGATTGTTGGTCTGTTGGTAATGGTCTCATACTTAATCCATCTAAATGTCAAGCTGTTAACTTTAGTATGAGACATGAACGGAATATAAACACTATTTTGAGATCCCATAGTGCTTGTACCATCGGAGACTCCTTGATAAACTCAGTGTCGAAGGTCAATTATCTTGGTGTCACCTTTTCCTCTGATCTGTCTTGGTCTTCCCACGTTTTATCGTTATCAAAGAAGGTTTTCCGTCTGACCTACTACATAAAGAGATTGCATGCTCTTGGAATTACTCGTCATTTACTCTTACAATTTGTCAATTCTTGCATATTACCTATTATTCTTTACTGTTCTCCATTATTCTTTCCCGGGCTTTTGAGAAAAGACTTTGCTGTATTGCGAAGAGTGCTGAAGGCAGTTAGTAAGACGTGTGGTGAATCTTTCGAGGTCTGTTATGAACGGGGAATTAAGAAGCCCAGACAATTACGAAAGCTATTTTCTTGGGACGTTATTGCATTTCATTCAAAACCTGTAAAACACTTATATTTATTTTTGTCCCTATCTTATTCTACATAACACGAGCTTTCGTTCTATGTATCATTCACTAGCATACCCTTTTTTGTTCCAAAAATATTGTAATTTGAACATTATATTTTGCACTATATTTTCTACCCTAATTCCCTGTTTCGGGCATAACTGTATTTTTCCAAATTATCGTACGTCGTGGTCAAGATATGCACTTATTTATTCATGTACATTTTTGTAGTAATCCGAATTCAGAGAATCCAGAGTTTAGTGTTCCAACTGTCTTGTCTTCTTTCACTTGTGTGCTTGCCAACCAATCAGGATTTAGAATAGTTCTCTCTACCCCATCTCGAACTCACGCATATTAGACTCAAGGTTAAGCCACTCAGCCTAACGCGTCAAGGTCATAATTTAGACTACACAGACCAAGGTCAAGTCATAACAAGTATCACGGGGTAAAAACGATTCAAGGTCATAACAACTGGCGACGGAGAATTTTTTTTTCTTTCCTATATTGATTGATCCAGTACAAAATGCCTGTTTCATTGGATGACCTTAAAACTATTCTTCAAATGCAGCAAGCACAAAATGATGCAAATCAAGTGAAGCTTTTGGATGCATTGGCACGAATGTTCTCATTACAGTCGTCCTCAGCTTGTCAATCAGATAAGCATGAAAGCATCATAAATTCTATTTCTGAATTCCAGTATGATCCTGAAGCTAATGTCATTTTCAGTTCGTGGTTTCACCGTTGTGAAGATATTTTCCGCGTTGAATGCTCGCATCTTGATGACGCAGCGAAAGTCCGCTTACTCTTAAGAAGACTGGGAACACAGGAATATAATAAATATGTGAATTTTATCTTGCCGCAAAATCCACGAGATGTATCATTCAAAGATACAGTCCAGATTTTATCTGATATTTTCGATGAACAGTCCTCATTATTTAATACTCGCTATAAATGTTTCCAAATAACAAAATCTCCAGAGGACGATTATCTCACGTATGCCGGGAAGGTAAATCGACAGTGCGAACGCTTCAAAATAAACGAAATCACAGCGGACCAATTTAAATGCTTGATTTTCATATGTGGTCTAAAGAATGAAGAAGATGCAGATGTCCGTACCAGGATGTTGGCACGCATTGAACAAGAACCAAATATGACATTACAAATGGTTACAACCGAATGTCAGCGGTTACTTAATCTCAAGCATGACACTGCGATGGTGCAACAGAAGGTTAAACCTTCCGGTTCTGATTCAATTAATGCGCTCCGATCCATAAAATCATCGAAACAAAACTGTACAAGCAGGAAACAACCTGCCAACCCCCCATCACCATGCTGGTTCTGCGGAGCATGGCATTTTGCAAAATTCTGTCCGTTTAAGAATCATAAATGCCGCAAATGTCATCGCATTGGCCACAAAGAAGGTCATTGTTCGTTAAATAAACGCAAGACTAAACATCGTAGTGAAAATTCAAAGCAACGATCAGACAGTCAAATTAAAACCACGTTTGCAACCTTTAAAGTTGGATTTAAAAGTAGGCGGAAATTCGTAAATTTATTAGTAAATGAAAAACTTATACGACTTCAGTTGGACACTGCTTCTGATGTCACGTTGATTTCAAAGAACACATGGCACAAGTTAGGATGCCCATCCATCCGACCGACGGAACATGTCGCCCGAAATGCGTCAGGAGACATAGTAAAGTTGACAGGAGAGGTCCTATGCAATGTTCAACTTATGGGAAGCAAATTTACAGATGTTTGTTATCTAACAAATCGACACGATTTAGATCTATTGGGATTAGATTGGATTGCACATGTTGATACTTTGAATAAATTATTAGATGAGGTATGTTCTCAAAATGTTTCCTATGATTCTATCCAAATCCCTAATGATATTTCTAAATCAAATGCCTCCGACGAATCATCCTCTCTGGATATTAACGAATTAAATGCTTCTGATGAAACATGTTCTTATGATCTTTCTGAATCAAACAATTCAAATGTTATGTGTTCTCACCATGTCAAATCAAATACCGCCGATTCATTGCCTTCTCATAAAATTTCCAAATCGAATACTTCAGACAAAGTATGCGCTAGTGAAACTTCGGAGTCTCATGTACTTCTTTCAAATGTTATGTCTACAAAAAGCTGAACTACATTCCTGGCCATCTCCAGAAGAACCTTGGTCGCGTATACATGTTGATTTTGCTGGCCCATTCCAGGGTACGTACTTCCTCGTTTGTGTTGATGCTTATTCAAAATGGCCGGAGATTTTTCCTATAAATCAAATCACTTCGCAACAGACTATCATGAAGCTACGGCAGTTATTCTCCCGTTTTGGAGTTCCAGATGTTCTCGTGACAGATAACGGCACTCAGTTTATTTCTTCCATCTTCTCAGATTTCTGCAAGAGGTTTGGAGTCAAACATGTCCGTTCACCTCCGTACCATCCACAATCGAATGGTCAGGCCGAAAGGTTTGTAGATACCTTCAAAAGAGCGCTACTGAAGGCAAAAGGGGAGGGAAAGATAGAGGAGATTCTTGATGACTTTCTCTTGGTCTACAGAACAACTCCAAACCCATCAACACCAAATCAAATGTCCCCAGCAGAAATTATGTTTGGTAGAAAAGTAAGAACTGCCCTCGATGCCATGAAACCACAGCAAAGAGACATCGGAAAAAGAAACAGAAAGATGGAAAACCAATTTGATCGCCATCATGGGGCGAAACGCAGAATTTTCCAGAAAAATCAAAAAGTATACGTCCGCGATTTCCGATATTCACCTCCACAATGGACCAGTGGACGCATACTTAAGAGACAAGGGAACGTAATGTATGTGGTGGAAGTTGAAGGACAGAAGTGGACACGCCATGTCAACCACATACTGGAAAATGCTGGCACTTCACAGAAAACCGAGAAATTAGACTCAATGTGGAGAATCATTCTGGACAGTTTTGACATAAAATGCTCAGCGACTCAGAAGACCACGCAACCTGAACAAAGTCCTATTAGGAAAGCATCACGGAAACGCAGAAGACCAGATATTCTACAGGTAGACCCAAAGAGGAGAACATACGTTTCCGAAGGAAGATATCAATGATGATATCTCAGCACTTACCTGTATATAGTAACTAACCATTTTTTTTCTTTTTTTTAAAGGGGGAAGGTGTTATGAACGGGGAATTAAGAAGCCCAGACAATTACGAAAGCTATTTTCTTGGGACGTTATTGCATTTCATTCAAAACCTGTAAAACACTTATATTTATTTTTGTCCCTATCTTATTCTACATAACACGAGCTTTCGTTCTATGTATCATTCACTAGCATACCCTTTTTTGTTCCAAAAATATTGTAATTTAAACATTATATTTTGCACTATATTTTCTACCCTAATTCCCTGTTTCGGGCATAACTGTATTTTTCCAAATTATCCTACGTCGTGGTCAAGATATGCACTTATTTATTCATGTACATTTTTGTAGTAATCCGAATTCAGAGAATCCAGAGTTTAGTGTTCCAACTGTCTTGTCTTCTTTCACTTGTGTGCTTGCCAACCAATCAGGATTTAGAATAGTTCTCTCTACCCCATCTCGAACTCACGCATATTAGACTCAAGGTTAAGCCACTCAGCCTAACGCGTCAAGGTCATAATTTAGACTACACCGACCAAGGTCAAGTCATAACAAGTATCACGGGGTAAAAGCGATTCAAGGTCATAACAACTGGCGACGGAGAATTTTTTTTTCTTTCCTATATTGATTGATCCAGTACAAAATGCCTGTTTCATTGGATGACCTTAAAACTATTCTTCAAATGCAGCAAGCACAAAATGATGCAAATCAAATGAAGCTTTTGGATGCATTGGCACGAATGTTCTCATTACAGTCGTCCTCAGCTTGTCAATCAGATAAGCATGAAAGCATCATAAATTCTATTTCTGAATTCCAGTATGATCCTGAAGCTAATATCATTTTCAGTTCGTGGTTTCACCGTTGTGAAGATATTTTCCGCGTTGAATGCTCGCATCTTGATGACGCAGCGAAAGTCCGCTTACTCTTAAGAAGACTGGGAACACAGGAATATAATAAATATGTGAATTTTATCTTGCCGCAAAATCCACGAGATGTATCATTCAAAGATACAGTCCAGATTTTATCTGATATTTTCGATGAACAGTCCTCATTATTTAATACTCGCTATAAATGTTTCCAAATAACAAAATCTCCAGAGGACGATTATCTCACGTATGCCGGGAAGGTAAATCGACAGTGCGAACGCTTCAAAATAAACGAAATCACAGCGGACCAATTTAAATGCTTGATTTTCATATGTGGTCTAAAGAATGAAGAAGATGCAGATGTCCGTACCAGGATGTTGGCACGCATTGAACAAGAACCAAATATGACATTACAAATGGTCACAACCGAATGTCAGCGGTTACTTAATCTCAAGCATGACACTGCGATGGTGCAACAGAAGGTTAAACCTTCCGGTTCTGATTCAATTAATGCGCTCCGATCCATAAAATCATCGAAACAAAACTGTACAAGCAGGAAACAACCTGCCAACCCCCCATCACCATGCTGGTTCTGCGGAGCATGGCATTTTGCAAAATTCTGTCCGTTTAAGAATCATAAATGCCGCAAATGTCATCGCATTGGCCACAAAGAAGGTCATTGTTCGTTAAATAAACGCAAGACTAAACATCGTAGTGAAAATTCAAAGCAACGATCAGACAGTCAAATTAAAACCACGTTTGCAACCTTTAAAGTTGGATTTAAAAGTAGGCGGAAATTCGTAAATTTATTAGTAAATGAAAAACTTATACGACTTCAGTTGGACACTGCTTCTGATGTCACGTTGATTTCAAAGAACACATGGCACAAGTTAGGATGCCCATCCATCCGACCGACGGAACATGTCGCCCGAAATGCGTCAGGAGACATAGTAAAGTTGACAGGAGAGGTCCTATGCAATGTTCAACTTATGGGAAGCAAATTTACAGATGTTTGTTATCTAACAAATCGACACGATTTAGATCTATTGGGATTAGATTGGATTGCACATGTTGATACTTTGAATAAATTATTAGATGAGGTATGTTCTCAAAATGTTTCCTATGATTCTATCCAAATCCCTAATGATATTTCTAAATCAAATGCCTCCGACGAATCATCCTCTCTGGATATTAACGAATTAAATGCTTCTGATGAAACATGTTCTTATGATCTTTCTGAATCAAACAATTCAAATGTTATGTGTTCTCACCATGTCAAATCAAATACCGCCGATTCATTGCCTTCTCATAAAATTTCCAAATCGAATACTTCAGACAAAGTATGCGCTAGTGAAACTTCGGAGTCTCATGTACTTCTTTCAAATGTATGTCTAAGAAAAGCTGAACTACATTCCTGGCATCTCCAGAAAACCTTGGTCGCGTATACATGTTGATTTTGCTGGCCCATTCCAGGGTACGTACTTCCTCGTTTGTGTTGATGCTTATTCAAAATGGCCGGAGATTTTTCCTATAAATCAAATCACTTCGCAACAGACTATCATGAAGCTACGGCAGTTATTCTCCCGTTTTGGAGTTCCAGATGTTCTCGTGACAGATAACGGCACTCAGTTTATTTCTTCCATCTTCTCAGATTTCTGCAAGAGGTTTGGAGTCAAACATGTCCGTTCACCTCCGTACCATCCACAATCGAATGGTCAGGCCGAAAGGTTTGTAGATACCTTCAAAAGAGCGCTACTGAAGGCAAAAGGGGAGGGAAAGATAGAGGAGATTCTTGATGACTTTCTCTTGGTCTACAGAACAACTCCAAACCCATCAACACCAAATCAAATGTCCCCAGCAGAAATTATGTTTGGTAGAAAAGTAAGAACTGCCCTCGATGCCATGAAACCACAGCAAAGAGACATCGGAAAAAGAAACAGAAAGATGGAAAACCAATTTGATCGCCATCATGGGGCGAAACGCAGAATTTTCCAGAAAAATCAAAAAGTATACGTCCGCGATTTCCGATATTCACCTCCACAATGGACCAGTGGACGCATACTTAAGAGACAAGGGAACGTAATGTATGTGGTGGAAGTTGAAGGACAGAAGTGGACACGCCATGTCAACCACATACTGGAAAATGCTGGCACTTCACAGAAAACCGAGAAATTAGACTCAATGTGGAGAATCATTCTGGACAGTTTTGACATAAAATGCTCAGCGACTCAGAAGACCACGCAACCTGAACAAAGTCCTATTAGGAAAGCATCACGGAAACGCAGAAGACCAGATATTCTACAGGTAGACCCAAAGAGGAGAACATACGTTTCCGAAGGAAGATATCAATGATGATATCTCAGCACTTACCTGTATATAGTAACTAACCATTTTTTTTCTTTTTTTTTAAAGGGGGAAGGTGTTATGAACGGGGAATTAAGAAGCCCAGACAATTACGAAAGCTATTTTCTTGGGACGTTATTGCATTTCATTCAAAACCTGTAAAACACTTATATTTATTTTTGTCCCTATCTTATTCTACATAACACGAGCTTTCGTTCTATGTATCATTCACTAGCATACCCTTTTTTGTTCCAAAAATATTGTAATTTGAACATTATATTTTGCACTATATTTTCTACCCTAATTCCCTGTTTCGGGCATAACTGTATTTTTCCAAATTATCGTACGTCGTGGTCAAGATATGCACTTATTTATTCATGTACATTTTTGTAGTAATCCGAATTCAGAGAATCCAGAGTTTAGTGTTCCAACTGTCTTGTCTTCTTTCACTTGTGTGCTTGCCAACCAATCAGGATTTAGAATAGTTCTCTCTACCCCATCTCGAACTCACGCATATTAGACTCAAGGTTAAGCCACTCAGCCTAACGCGTCAAGGTCATAATTTAGACTACACAGACCAAGGTCAAGTCATAACAAGTATCACGGGGTAAAAACGATTCAAGGTCATAACAAGGTGATAATTAATATGGTTGTGGATAGACATTTAAAATCATGCAAACTCCTGGCAAGTGTTATTTTATCAGAGACTAGCCATCCCCTTCACTCTTATCTTTCTTCTTGTATATCTTCTGGTAGAACGAGACGTAATTACATTAAAATCCTTGCACGCAAGGAAAAGTATAATAGTTCTATAATACCTTACCTAGCAAATATACTCTGTGACGAACAGGTTGTTAGAATTAACCTAGTCATAACTTACATTCTTAACATGTCTTTAATTTTAAAAGTTTGTGGTTTTTTTTATATCTCTTTTTGTATTTTCTACTGCCTTTTTGTTCGTTAGTTCAGTAAGTAACTTGTTTAAATACCCTGTGCTGAGAATTCTATATTGTACCAAAATATACTATTTAATAAAGCCATTAGTAATAATAATAATAATAATTACTGCGGAAGTTTCACAACTCAAACTCACCATAAGTTTTGGGATTATTGTCTTTTTTGTTTGGAAATGGAACTCGGAAACTGGAAATTAGGCAGACATTGGTCTATGGAAAAATACTAAGGGATAGTCCATAGTTCAACATAGATTAAGATGTTAAGTGAAGAAACATGATGGAGAATTAGATCCAGAGAACTATTCAGTCCTCGCCTACAGTTATTGCTAGCCTATGTGCATTTATGTCATTTGAGGGCCATATTTGCTGGTGGTTGGTTTTAGCAAACCTGTTTCACTGGGCATGTAAATATTTCTAAAAGCTGTTAATGAACCATAATAACTAATCATAAACATAGATGATTAGTTAATAATATCGATCGAGCTGGAACGCTATGAGTGCTAACCAGCATTACAGTACGATAATACACATGATTATTTACTGTATGGTTCACAGATTGTATTACGATATTCTGTGATGTCGTGTTAAAATACATTTGGTTATCGCCACCGGTATTCTCCTTCACTACAGTGTGACTACCTAGTCTGTAAGGTCTTACGTGCAAGTCAAATCATTCTCTTCAGTGATTCATCTTATCGTGACAATCAACAACAAAATGTCTAGCGCCTCTGACGAACAAGTTTTAGCTGGGGAGAGGGTAATACGTTCCATACAAAAAGCAAGAGGTTATACAGAATGACGACGCCTTAATTACTAGACCATGCCATTTCGATTGAGTGTTGCTGCGTTCACCATTGTTGACCTGCTCCTAGTGTCACATGTTGAATGTATATCTTTTCAGTAACTATATGCACGGTTTCAGTGATCGAGTTGTTTGGAACCAATGCCACTCCGAATCCTCAAAATGGGATTGAATGCTAAGAAGTAATCAGCTTCTAGTAGATGATCATACCCAGGAATCAACAGAGAGTAATGACCATAGTACTGTCATATTCGATGAGAATAAAACTGAAGTGCTCTGTTGGGGCATGTACGCTCCGCCCCTTTGATACACCAGGGCAGACTACGTGGCCATGCGAGAGCATCTTTAGAAATGCATAGAATGTGTGCTACAGGCACCGGATCGAGCAGTATTACTCGACTTCAAAAAGACTTTCGACACATCACTGTTACGTCCAAGTTTCTGCTCTTGTCCGTTAATGAAGTACAGTCGATCAATTCACCTGTAACTTACGACCCCAAATAACGACAGAACCAAGTTTTAACCCAGACACCAATGTTTATTCAGCAACCACAGACAAAAGCATTCAAAATGCAGTATCAAAAACAGAGAGAAACAACAATGACCAGGGTTAAAAATATAAACATGCAAGTTCAGAAGTGGAATAAAACATCCAAAACACGGTTAGATTATAATATTCAGTGTAAAAGTTCTTAGTCGGTCAAATGTTTTCAGTTTTCCTGTAACAACATTATCACATATACTTTTCGTAGAGAGAGTTGCAAATATGGGTTTCACTGACTCATTTGTATCTAAGCCCAAGAACTACCTGGAAAATAGAATGTTAGTGCCAAGGCAGATAGAGTGCTATCTGATGGGTCTCCACATCGTAATTTTCTGAAGGAACAATCTTGAATTTAGTCCTGGTCATGATCATTATTAATGACCTGTAAGATCTAATTACTTAGACGGCACTGATTTATACAGACGCTGGTACTATGTCCGGATGAAGAGTATGTGAATGGTAACTGGCACGGTTTATTTACGAATTGTTATTGTAAATATATTCTTATTGTATGACTACTAAGTAACTATATTTCATGTATTTATATTCCTCTTATTATAAGCTTCCATTTGACTCAGCCGCTTCTCGGCCTGATCTCATATGATTGTAATTTGCTATTTTATGGTGCGATGCGGTCTGTTATGCTTGTATATGAACTGCGTATATTTGAAATACATAATTTATATGGAGGAGGTTTACACTGATGTTCTGGGCTGGACCGGCTGGGTCAGCGAGAAGTTACTATCTCAGAAGACCAATAAAAACTCAGAGTTGACTCTAAGCTGCTTGTACTGGCTTATGCGTCATTTGTCTGACCATATAGGCGGATGTCCCGAATTGGCGGTTTAGTCATGTGATATATTCGTAGGGCATCAGGACATAACCGGAGCAGAAACCTGAAGGCCCACAAAAGGTGAAAAAGAACTATTCAAGCTTCGAAAGGACCTTACGACAACAGAAGAGTGGACAGTAGACAGTGGGTTAATACATAACCTGTCGAAATGTTTTCTCATGAACATTTTGACTCACTGAACACAATAAATTACATCCTCCACAGAAATCCGCTCCCAATTGTCTCCTTAGAGCATGATCTTAAGGTAGTAATCTCAGAGAGCAACTCAAACTACATGAAAGACGCATCAAAGATAAGCTCAACTTTCTACTTTATGAGTAGAAAGCCTGATGAAATCACTCCAGAGTTGTTCTTAACTCTCTTTAAAGAGTACTCATGGTCCTATTGTGAAGCGCACAATGTTGTTGCACTCCCTCTCCTCAAAAGAGATACAAATCTTTCAGACCAAGTACAGAGACGATCGACCGAATGGGTGATAGGTAAAAGATAAATTTTGCGAATACCGAGTCCACTACCTGGGATTACTATCACTGATTGGTTGGAGAATAAGGGGTGATTTGATAGCGGCATACTACATATTAAGTACACCAAACCATCCCAACAATAACTTCCTACCTCAACACCATCACCTTGAAGGATTTCACATCAAAGAGCTAACACCCAGGTACGATCTCACTTCTTCCCATTATGGACTCCACTTATTTAGAATGCCCTATCAGCCGAAGTGTTCATAGCTCTCACACTGTAAAGCTTTTTTCAATTCCATCTTCTTACACATTACCAATACATTGACTTATTTGTTATTCTTGAAATAGTCGTCTTCTCTAAGCACTCAAATTGCCACTACTGTGGTCATATTACAACCAGTCAACCTCCTACCTGGCATTATGACAACTGCTGGTATCCGGAAATCTTACTACTACGAGATGCACACACTCACTCAAATAAATAAGGAA